CCAGAAACCCAGTAGGGGTGCTATTATCACAAAATATCACATTCGTTTTACCTGTATTTATCATAGTAATTATCTGTGAAATACCTATATTTCTCCTTTTCGTGAAGTTGATATTTTCACTAGTGAAAATAACATGTTATTTTTTATTTTCACTAGTGAAAATAGCACATTCGAAGTTTCTCAATACAGTGGAAGTAAGAAATAAGGTATTTTTACGACATAATTTGCTTTCATATGTAATTATATTATAAACAGAAAATTACATGGTCGCTCGGAGATACGAATTTTATCGTGTCTTGTTAAAAATCTCTCACTCATTCGCTACGCTCACTTTTCAACACTTTAAGATAAATTCCGTATCTCCGCGTGCCCACTGTAATATCCATGTATATCGTTTTTTTTATAAAACGTATAATTGATTTCATGGATATGATATGATAAAAATAATATTACATGGTCGCTTGGAGATTCGGAATTGATGTTTTCACTGCGCGAGCGGGAAAGGGGAGGGAGATACTCCCCTATACTACTATATGGCCACGTTACGCAAAATAGGGTTATGCTTTTCGGCCTTACTGTCTTGAATAGGGTATACAATTTACCTTCAGTTATCGTGAATAGGGGAGTACTTTCTTTGTTTTTATTCTAAAATGCAATATCTTTTTATTGTAAAATTTAATATTCATAGGGCAAAACACAATAAAAATCATAACCCATGAAGACTGAGTTGTAAATCCACATACAGATTCTTGTTCATTTGCATAAACTTTAACTCTGATTTTCTCTATAGCTTATGCTTATGTCTTAGATAAGATCTACATTTTCGGCCCATCTGTCTGGAATAGAGTATGGAATTTTGCTGTCTTGAATAGGGTCAGTGTTTAGAGGTACTAGCGAAACGTCCCCGTCTTCAAATCTGGATCAAGTTCTTACTAMACTAAGTATTTAACTCAGATTGTTGGAGTTTTCATAGTGTAAAAWTATATAATTTACTGTAACTTCGAGAAGAAATGTTCAACAGTCATGAATGCTGTGCAATATTTACGARTCATGGCACGTAAGATAAAGATGCGGTTGCTCTTATCAAACAATCCCCCTTTTTAAGTAATACCTAGAAATAACAATGACATCTAACATAATAAAGTGAAGAGCAAACTGACGCTAGCTTTTGACAACCTGTTCCATTGATTGGTAAAAATGTGGTATTTGAATACGTCACTTTTCCGAAAACCGAGGATTTTCCTGCATTAGTGTGGCTAGCACCAAGAAGCGGCTCATTTTCACGGCACGCTCGCCTTTCATCTAGCGTGTATCGATGATATTTGCCTATTCTCATCAGCGCACTTCATTATACATCGGAAGCTTAACCATTTAATTCAGCCATTATTGTGGCTGAAAAACAATTTCTGGCCGTAACCCGGTAGTATTTGAGCTAAGGAGGCTGGATGAGATCTGTTGCACGGCTGTCTGACCAAATGCACCGCAATTCGTCTCAAATATCACAACTGGTAATTCTAGAAAAGAAAAAGGTTTTTGGTTTGGTATTTTGATGCAAGTATTTCCACTCAGTTTGGGTCTGCTCCATTGTAAAAGGAATCTTAGTACAAAAAGGTAACGAAAAATGATACAGTGTAAAGATAAACTGCATTCTTATACCCGATGTACATATATATGGATCTATTGACTTGATTTTAAAGACTAAAAGTCCTAAAATGCTATTTCGATACATACTGGCGATGATAAACTATCAACGTTTCGTTGCCGATAAAACAACGAAACATTTACAGCGAAAATTGTTATCGCGTTTTATGAATTTATATTTCATTTTTGGATTTGGGTTTTTTTCTGCCACTAAAAGTGTAAAAAAAAGAAAATAAATTCTTTAAGTAAGAAATCAGATAGATTTATAAACAATTCTTTTATAGTGATGAATTTTTATTGAAATAAACGAAATAAAGTCGTTTGTTTATGGAAACTACACTCTGAAGACGCAGCGATGGTCCAAATGCCACGGGCTTCAAAACAACGAGATTGCGATTTAAGCTTTTTTTTCCCTATAATCTATAGCGAGATTTATATCTGATAATTTACAAGAAAAGAATATTGCAGATCCACTATTAGATATCCAATTGATTTTTTTTATTGGCTTTTAAGAATTAAGTACAGCGGTTYCTCTATTTAGCGCTCGCCCATTCATCGGTCATCCTTTGTTTTAGCGGGCAAAACAACACGATCATCTAAATCATCCGCCATTCAACCTCTCTTCAGCGGCCAACCTTTAATAAGCGGCCACTTTGGAAAATCCCGAGTGCGATCTCTTAATAGAGTGACTCTATAAACTTCTAGAATATGAAAARAGCATTAGCATTTAAAATACACTTCCTCGATTCTCAGCTTAAAAGACTTGGTAACACTATACATAAATGGTAATTGTCAACAAGGACGTCATAAAAGTTTCTTTTTAATAAAATGACACCCAGTTTGTCAGATTAAGTAGAGAGAAAACTCATACAGACTCCAATTGCTGGCGGAAACAAGCCGCGCGATTCGATTACTCTAGCTTTTCAATTTCCTTCTTGGCTTGATCGAAGTTTATTTTTAACATTAGSTAGCCAATGGCATCGTTTCTTATGTGTTGCTACGTGTTTATCGTRCACATATGGACATTCAGTCGGGTCTTAGTCTAGTTTCAGCAATTTTGATCTCAGTTTCTCTCTTTAACGACTTCAAAAGGTACGTAAATGTTCTGTATCATTGATTTGYTTAAATAAGYCTCTTTTTTACAAAGGAAACGGTTTTGGAGTACCCTGGTTCCAGAGKTTTCTCTGTGTTATTCTCTGTGTAAAATATCTCTGTTCAACCTCTGGAATCAGGGTAGTTTTGGAGCTGTTKTAAACCGCAAAGCTTTATGAAGTTACTCCATGTTTTCCCGCGCCCGGGTGCGAAATCTCCCGAGTACTGAAAACTTAGGCTACATGTTTTCTCTCCGTTTTAGTGCTTTCAAAGACATAGTGGTTGTTTAAAATGACGTGCATGTCATGAACATTGTTCATCCATTTTCCATTTCTTTTTGCTATTCGTCCTTTTTCTTTACGGTTCATTCTTGTTGATGCGAAATCTTACTACTGGAACACGACGACAGTTCCCATTATTTGTTTTATTCTTTATTATTTCTTATTATTTCAGTCTTGTTAATTCTGTTTTACTACCATCGATTATTCCAGCCAGTTTCCAATCTCTATTCGTAATTTCAAGTTGACTCCAGGCCACTTCATCACACCGCATCGATTTACATCTATTAAAACTACAGCTGTAAATACCAACAAATTAAAAGTTCTGGATAAATCGTTATAAAGAGCTAATCAAAGGAAGACGTACACTTAAATTAGAAAATGAAATTTTCTTTTCATATCCATCTTYTTTTCAATATTTTTTTAGGATTTTTGACGTTTCATGCTGGCAAATTCTAATTATCTCAATKTTTTTTTYYTTWWYCMAAMYTTKGKTWGKWAWTKSYTT